GTGTGTGTGTGTGCGTGCGTGCGTGTGTGTGTGTGTGTGTGTGTGTGTGTGTGTGTGTGTGTGTGTGCGTGCGTGCATGTGTGTGTTTGTGGGCATGTGTCTGTGATGAAAAAGGGGCATCAGCGGCAGGGCCTGTGCACCCTGCAGCGACGCCGCGGCTAGCCAACACGTTCACAAACCGGCTCGCCAACCCTTACAGGGTGCTTGAGGCTCCAAAAGGGTCTCCCCTCGGCGCTCTCACCCGTGGAAGTCTCCAGGATACGCACCAGGTGGCGCGTCACCAGCGTCACCAGGAAGTCCTTGGCGCTGCACAGGGGGCCGGCGACGCGGCGCAGCAAGCGGCGGCGCGGCGGTGGTTCGCTCACCGATGCGCGGTGGTGGGCCGACCAGAAAAAGGTGAGCGTTCCACCTGCCGAAGGCGCCCTGCATGGGCTCTATGCATGCGTGCTGTCCCCGTGCCGACCAGAGGACCGCGAGGTCAAAGCATGCAAGCAAGGGGTCGGGGCGGCTGACACCTGCGGCTCGGTCTACAACCGAGCACAACCAGGGTGCTGCTTTCTTGGCCCTGCCGCCCACCTGTGCAGCAGCCGGTGGTCCACCTCCCCCGACTGCAGCGCCGGCCGCAGCCGCGCCGGGTCCACCGCTCCCAGCAGCCCCAGGCACTCGGCGCACCTGCACGGCGGGGACCGAGCGCCCATCAGCGGGGAAGACCAGAGGCCCGCCACGCCACTGCCGGCCCAGGCACGCGGTCGACCCTCCCTCCAGCACCCACCGCGCCCTGCACTTCCTCAGGTACCAATTGCCGCCTCCATTCCCCCTGGCCCCGCCCCACCTCTGGCGCATGGAGAGCCCGAGGTGCGACCGGGCCGCGTTGTCGCAGCTCGACAGCAGCGCAGCCATAAGGTCCGCCAGCAGCGCCGGCCCCGCGCCCGCCTCACCGCCGCCGCCGCCCGCGCCGCCGCCGCTTCCCTTGCCAGGGCCGCCGCCGGCGGCGCCCGCGGATGCAGCGAGGCCGCGCACAAAGCGGCGGCAGCGGGTCATGAAGGCGCGCAGCTCGCCGAGCGCGGCGTGGCGCACGCCGGGGGACTCGTGGCGCAGCGCGCGGACGAGCAGCGCCAGCTTGCCTGCAGGGCCGGAGCTCTGGTGCTCCTGCGGGTTTTGGGGAGAGGGGGCGGGGCGCGGTTGTTTGTTTGCGAGCCCACGTAGCGGCTGGTCACATGAGATCACAAGCCTGGTCAAACCCCCTGACAAGGAGGAATGGCACGGCGCACCCCTCACGCGAGCCCCAGGCCCCGAGAAATTGCACACGCAACCCTCAACAGTAACCTCTGCGTCGTGAGTCGCACACGCAAGGAGCAGCCCGGGGGAAGCTCCTGCTCAACAGCTTAGGCCCCGCCGCCTTTTGCCATCCTCAGGCGTTCCCAGGCAACAGGCCTGGCGCCCTGGACACCCAGGCGAGGCGCGACCTCTAATCATGGCTTTGAGCCTCTGGGCCCACCCAGCCCACCTGCGCCAGCACCCTGTTGATCTCCTCAAGCTCGGGCACCTCTGGCAGCGGCGGCATGGCCTGCAGCGCGCGCCGCACCAGGTGGCGCTGCCGCACCACCATCTCCCCCAGCACGGCGGCTGCCAGGGACAGCGCCGCGGCGCCTGTGTGAGCAGACCAGAGCGTGAGGGTTTTGCATCGTCTAGTTTTGCAGGGCACGACTCTTTATTATCTGAAACCCAAAGATAACAATGGCGGTATGCCGGCAGAATACGCAGCAGAGCAAGGCGTCCGCTCGACCCACCGTCACGCCCATCGCCCTGCTGCTGCTGCTGCTCGTGCTGCCCCTCCGCCGCCTCGCCCCGCGCCGCCGCCCGCGCGGCCGCCGCCTCCAGCACCGGCAGCAGCACCACCGCCGCCTGCGCCGCGACGCGCTCCAGCAGCTGCGGCGCGCGCGCGGCGAGGCCGCGGACGAGCACCAGCCAGGCCGCCAGCGCCTGCAGCTGGGCCTCCGCGCTGGCGCAGTGCATGAGGGCCTCGGACAGGACGGCCATGATCTGGCGAGGGGAGGGGTAAACGTGTGCAGGCGGGGTGGCGGGGGAGGGGGTGCTGTGTGGTTGGATTTAGTGGGATGGATTGGAAGAGATGGCGGAGGCATTGATTCCATATGCAGGGAGCCAGGGTGTGCCGCCGGCTTGACTGGGACTTAAGGGACTGTCACCACGACGAGCCAGCCAGTGCGCACGCCCCGCCACAGTGGAAGGCACTGCCCTCCTCGACCCCTCTTGACCGGGCCGCCGATGCCACCTCCCGGCCCCGCTTACCTGCAGCGCGTGGCTGCCCAGGCAGCCGCCCAGCAGCTCTATCAGGACCATCAGTGCCCGCAGGCACTGCAGCCGCTCGGCCTCCACCCCGCCCGCCGCGGCCGCCGCCGCTGCCAGCGGCGCGCCGCCGTCCGGCCC